AGGTTGAATATCGATTACCAATAATGGGTTTAATATCAGTGATTAAATTGGGCCGGTTGTGCTGTGCACAACGAAAACTTCCTAGTATATTTATATGGTAAATTATAATTATGAGAAGAGATACAATATTATTAAAACTTTATTGTACAACATTTATATACAAGACATTTATTTTTTTTTACTTTATGTATATTTATATATTATATATATAATTTTTAAAAATTTAAAATTTATTATCCTATTCAACAATTAACTCAGAGTGATGTCCGGATCGATTTTGGACGAGTTTAAACAAATACTAACATTATTCAAGTGTTTTATAATTTTAAAAATCATAATATATATATAAGGTTGAGTTCACACGAGAATAGTGCTTAGTGAAATAAATGAGAATAAATTTCAGTCATTCTGATTAGATAATCCAACAACTAAGAAAAATGTCAATTATCACACTCATTATGGGTAAATGAGTAATTACTATCCCAAACACATCATCCACCAACATTAGTGGACCCCACCAGCCTACTACACGTGCCACTACCACCTACACTTCTCTCTCTCTCTCTCTCTCTCTCTCTCTCTCTCTCTCTCTCTCCCACTTTTCTTTCTCTCTACCCCCATTTTTTTCTCTCTCTCACCCACTTTTTTTTTATTATTTATGTTTTACTTTTTTTTTTTAATACATAGGGTTCCAGCCCCACTATACAGAGTTGCAGTCAATCCCTAGCTCTAATCCCCGGCCCCACAGTGATTTCGGGAGTTAAATCTAAGACTTGTGACAGTGGCTTTCAGTTAGTCCGAAGCTGTACACTCTTGGGCGACCAGCGGGTCGACTACTTCAGGTATCTGCAATATGCTCCTCCCAGGTTTCGATCCCGCCACCCGGTGCTTGCAAGCGAACCTGCGGCCCCCCATCCCACCAACTGCGCTACGCCCCGGGAGCTATTTATTTTTTACTTTTTATCTCTTCTGGTGACATCCCACGCCTGCTGCTCCTCCAACGTCTGCCGCCGCTCCAACTCCAGAATTAGAGTCGACGTCCGTACGTCGCCGCGTCAATCTCCATGGCAGAGCTGGTTTAGCACTTCGTCTCCACTATTAAGAAATTGCAGATTCGGCCGAGCCCTTCGACGTTGTCGCCTCGTTCTCCTGCGCACCAGCGCTCCCGTTGCTACCGCCTCAACACTTTAAACCCCGCCGCAATTCCGTCAAGACGCAACCACCGTCGCTGCGAGTCACAACATCAAATTCCGGCAAGGCCCAATTTTGCGATTTCGGATTTTAATTGCACAAAGCCAGATGATTTATTGTCTATATAAGATTATTTGTTGTTTATATCATGAATGTGATTGCTAAGTTGTGAAAAATGCGTACGGCGAGTAGGAATCCTAACATGCCGAGATCACCGGTGAACATCCGTCGGAGGATGTCTGGCTCAGTCCGGGAATCAGATTTGTGGT